CTGAGCCACGCCCCCAGCCCCTCACTGGGGGATTCTAGGCAGGGGCTCTACCATTGATCCTCACCCTTAGCCATCTTTTTACCTAAATTGCCCAGGCTCTCCCTAAATCACTTTATAGCCTAGGCAGGCATTAAAGTTGTCGTCCTCCTGCCTCATCGTCCCTAGTATCTGAGATCACAGGCCCGCAACACCAGGTCCCTGTGCACATGGATTTTCATGCTCATCCTTCTACTTTCTCTCTTTCCTCCCCCCCCTCACTTCCACCTCACTCTCCCTGAGGTCTTCTGTGTATAGCCACTGTTGACGTGTGGACCAAGAAGAGACACAAGCCCAGACTTTACTCCTCACGACTTACTCTTAACAAGGGCACAAAGTAGGTAAATTTCCAACTGAAATCTCCAGAAAGCCCATGACCATGCCACCCTGAAGTCTCAAGAGCCCATGGCCGTCCTACACTCACGTCTCCGGAGAATCTATGGTGACGCCGTCCTCGAGCACCCGAGCGTACCTCCGATAAGGCAGTTCCTTTAGGAAAAGCCAGTGGTACCCATTCCCTCCCTCTTTCAATACAAGTCGCTTCCCATCCTATTTCTGGGAGGACAACTGCTTAACCATCTTCATCTCTCCCCAGGCAGGGTCTGGCATGATGGCTGGGTCTATGCTGTTTGGAAATTGAGCCCTCTGAGCTCTCCATTGGGGCATGAACTATCCCCAGATACTAGGAAAAGAGTAAATATTTGTCCCCCGAACTTCCTGGCAAAGAAATCAGACCAGTTATGTGGGTTATAGTGTCCATGAGATTTAGAAAATTTCCACAAAATTGCAGGGCATTGGTGGCACTCGCCTTTAATCCCAGCACTCGGGAGACAGTGGCAGGCGGATCTCTGTGACTTTGAGGCCAGCCTGGTCTACAAGTTCCAGGACAGCCAGGGCTGCACAGAGAAACCCTGTCTCAAAAAACTAAAAAAAAAAAACAAAAAAAAAAAAAAAAAAAAAAACAAAGAAAAAAAAAAAGAAAAGAAAAGAAAAAAGAAAAGTAGAAAATTTCCACAAAGTCATAGCAGTAATATCTACTTGTGATTATGTGTATTGCTCTTAAGACCATATTTATCATCATTTTTAAAGATTTTATTTACTTATTATGTATACAACATTCTGCTTCCTGTATATCTGCACAGAAGAGGGCGCCAGATCTCATTGAACTCAGGACCTCTGGAAGAGCAGTCTCTCAACCACTGAGCTATCTCTCCAGTCCCAATAATAAATATGGTCGGGGCTGGAGAGATGGCTCAGAGGTTAAGAGCACTGACTGCTCTTTCAGAGGTCCTGGGTTCAATTCCCAGAAACCACATGGTGGCTCACAACCATCTGTAATGAGATGCCCTCTTCTGGTGTGCAGGCAAACATGCAGACCACGCCTACATAAAAATATAAATAAAGTTAAAAAAGAAGACAGTGTTATCTACAATTAGCCGCTACCACCACTACTGCCAATATTGCTCTCACAGCAAACTCTTGGTAAATATAATGCTTATTCTTATTGGCAAATGAAAAAAGATATATGTAGCTGGCTATGAGACATATAGCCAAAAATTTTGACTTAAATCCTAGATACTTGAACCTGTTTTGATGTATTTTTTTAAGGATGTATTTATTATTTTGTGTGTATGAATGTATTGCCTGTTTCTTGGTTTGTGCACCATGGGTGTACCTAATGCCTGCTGAGATCAGAAGAGGGATTTGGATCCCATAGGACTAGAGTTAGTATACCACCGTGAGCCACCATGGGGTTGCTGGGACTTGAACCTGGGTTCTCTGAAAGAGCAACAGTACTCTTAACTGCTGGGCCAACTCTCTAGTTTCTAAACCTGTTATGATTTAGGTTAAGATCTCAGGGTCTCTGGTTTTCCATCTCAGCAAGAAAGCAAACCAATAAGAAAACTATTACAAATACCCACAGATATTAAGAAATAGATTTGGGGTCTGGAGAGAGGGTTCAGTGGTTAAGAGCAGCTCTTGCTGAGGTCCTGGGTTTGGTACCCAACATCCACTTATTAAATCACACCATTCATAATTTTAGTTCCAGGAGATCTGGTGCCTTCTTCTGACCTCTACAGACACACATGTGGTGCAGATCCGAGTAGCTAAAACATACATGCAGGCTGGGTGTGGTGCGCAATAGTCATAGCACTCAGGAGGCAGAGGCAGGTGGATCTCTGTGAGTGTGAGGGCAGCCTGGTCTCCAGAGCGAGTGCCAGGACAGCCAGGGCTGCTCCGTCAAAAAACAAAAACAAAAACAAAACAAAACAAGTAATCTAAAAATTAAAAAAAAAAAGTCCAGTGAATGCCGAGACATTTAGGGAGTTCATGGAGATCTTTTCTGAGGTGACGTTTGCATGACATGGTAAGAATGGCGACATGCAAATAAGGGAGAAAGAGAATGGAATATTATCCCAGCACGGAAAGCAGCGACTGCATGCACGCAGTTCAGAACACATGAAGGAATGAGATACTAACTTATACTTCACCGTGAACCTAGAATTATACATTATGATATATATCATATATATATATTAAAATTTTATGTACATTGGTGTAAAGGTGTCAGGTCTCGAGTTACAGGCAGTGGGTTTGTTGGGAATCGAACCCATGTCCTCTGGAAGAGCAGTCTGTGCTCTTAACCCCTGAGCCATCTCTCCAGCCGCCAAGTTATATAATTTGATGGTAGTGTAACATATATTTCCTTTTAAAGATATATTTCTTTTCATTTTACGTGTATGAGTGTGTTGCCCATATGTGTTCTAGTAAATTCTGTTCATTGCTAGGGTCTGAGAGACCAATGTTAGCTATCTCACTAGGAGGGAGGATTTTTCTTTAAAGATTTTATTTATATGTATACAGTGTTCTAGAGGGCACCAGATCTTATAGATGGTCATGTGGTTCCTGGAATTGAACTTCAGACCTCTGGAAGAGCAGCCAGTGCTCTTAACCTCTGAGCCAACTCTCCAGCCCTGAGGGAGTTTTAATCTATATTTTAAGTTTTTATTATTTATTTATTTGTGTGTGTGTGTGTGTGTGTGTGTGTGTGTGTGAGAGAGAGAGAGAGAGAGAGAGAGAGGGAATTTGCGAGTTCCCAAAGAGGCCAGAAGAAGGTGTCAGATCCCTGGGAGTTGGAGGTACAGACAGTAATGACCCCGGGATGTGGGTACTGAGAATTGAACTCTCCAGTCCTCTGGGAGGGCAGTAAGTGCTCTTAACTATTGAGCCATCTCTCCAGCTCCAGGGACACACACACACACACACACACACACACACACACACACACACCCCACACACACCCCACACACACA